TAAGAAAATTCTTCTGCAATAAGAATATGATGTGGTTTATTAATAGAAGTGTAATTAGGCTAACCAGGAATTAGGCTCTACTCTGTTTACAATTTTTAGCAGTGGTTACTTGCTTCAGTTAGCTCCTTTATGAACAAAATATAGAATAAAGTTACCAGTGCAGCCAGGTTCCATTCATAGCTGTGGAAAAATACATACACAACTCTGAAGATCTTGCTTTGCTACAGACTGTTCCTTTTGAAAGGAACTTTAGTATTCCTACTCCAGCCAGTGCAAGGGGTTTTGGTCTCAGCAGGTATTAGTATCAGCAGTATTGGTCTCTGCAGATACAGATGATGAGAAACTCCCAGCCTACCCTGTAGAAATGTACTTTTAGCCTGTGTATGGCCTTGTGCTCCTATAGCATTTCCAGACACTCTTTGAGTGACCATCATCTGTGTCCCAAGTGTGCCATAACCATGCAATACTCCGGTAGCCAGGAAAGAGCATTTAGCCAACTAGACTGAAGCAAGGGTAAATAAGAATTTAAACCATAACCTTGAGATCTGTGCATGAACATCCCTTAATTTTTAAATTCTGTAGTGTGTTTTCAGAACCAACTTGTTAAAGAGGTATTGCAGGTTTTCTAGTCTGTACAAGTTCTTAGAATATAGCTCCTTAAAATCTTTCAGTACTCATTGAGCAATCTGACTAATTCTTATGATATGATCTCAACCTCTCTCCTGGGGAGAGCTGTGGGCAGTAAAATGTGTTGTTTTGACAGAATATTTTTTTGCTCCCACCCTATCCACCCCCTGTGTATTATTCATGTTGCTATCAATTTTCCTTAAACAGTAGGATCAAGAAACTAAGTCACGTACTTAGTGTGAGACAGTGAAATCTGTGATAAACATAATTTCCAGGAGAGACTGATTCTACAGTCATTTGCAAAGACACATGTTAGAGTGGTGGGGTATATGTGTTTTGGTTTGGTTTTTTTGGTTTGGTTCTTTTCCTTGGGTTCACCATCAGAGAATTTACTTTGTTTGCTTAAAGCCTGCGTATGTTTTGAAGCATTCTTTTCATGATTCTTCCAAGCCCCCCTCCCCCTTTTTTTTTTTTTTTAAAGCAATGCTACTTAACTGTGAGGTTGTTAAAGAGCAACAGAATCACAGAATCTCTCTTTGGAAATGAGATAGTTGCCATGGCAACTCTTCCAGCTGCTTCTTGCCCCAGTTGAGAAAATAATTTTTAGATTCCTATATTACAAGGTTAAGCTATAATGTTTAAAACTAAATAATATAGCTAATTGATTTAAAATTAAGATCAATACATTGCTTTTAAAATATCTTAGGGCTGATAATCATCTGAAATTCTTCACTCAAATATTTGTGCAGGTACTTATCAAATATTTTTCTTCTATTTGTTCAAGTACTTGAGGTAAAACTGGTGCATTCAGATGGAAAATATTTTCAACTTACTGATTTTAGTAGATGTGTTTTTGTAGTAGAAATTATCCTGAAAGCTGATTGCTACCTAAATAGGTAGTGTTTAAAATATGACTCTGAGTTTGACTCATACTTTGCAATATGCCAAATCTGGAACAGATCTGAAATGCTAAATACTTTTAAAGTTTATTTTCTCTGAAGTCCAGACAGTTGATGAAGTGTTGGTTGTTTTGGTGGTCTCTAGTCAGCTTTACTTGGAGAAGGATTATCACCAGCATCAGTTCATATTGTGTCTAGGCAGTAGTAAAAATCTCCAAGTACAGAGGTTCTATAACCCATCTTGGAAACCTTTTTCCCTGTTCCCTGCTCCTGGTGAACAAACTTTCCCATGTGTCCAGTTTGAATCTCCAAGTCACAGGTTGTGGCCACTGCACTGTGTTGTTGTTAGACTATGGGATTAATCATGCTAAAAGCCTGGTGAGCTTTGGGTGAATAGTGACATGCAGAGGAGCCCTAGTCAGCACAATCAGTGAAAATGGAAGGGACAGACTTCTCTGCTCCTAAGGTTGTCAAAGGAACATGATTAAATATTGTCCCTGGTTTGAAACCCAAATAAAAATTCCCAGATCTCCTGGCACAGTGATGTACTGCCTACAGGGGATTTGCTATGGGATACAGGGAAAAGGACTCTATGCAGCTGTTAAAAGGTTATTATGGGATACTTGTAATGTGACTCTGGGAGTATGTAGAACTTCCTATGAAATGTTTATTGAAAGGACCAAAGGTCAGAAAAGGAGGGATCCATGTAGCAAGGAAGAACAAACCTCATTTGATTTCTTTCTTGATTTCTTTATTTCTTGACCAGTCTTTGCTGGCTGCTTTTCATCACCTTATCATCCCCTGGGGTTTTGGGGTTTTTTTTGTTCTCCTATTTTCTGTTTTTTTTAAAGGTATCTTACTCTTCTTTACTTTACTTAGCTTTTCCTCCTTTTTAAAAGATAGGTCCAGTGAAATGCTCTGGGACCTCCATTACTTCTAAAATGTAAATGGTTCAGGGAGGACTTTTGCTAGATCTTAAGATACATACACAATTTTATCTGTCCTTGCAACTTTGAAAATACTTGAAAATACTTAAATACTTCAGATTTTTGGAGATGCTTTAATGGCCTTCAGTCCTACTCCTTCATTAAAATTAATTTTATTAAATATCTGATCACTGCTTATGAAATCTGTAACAAAAAAGTCAGTGCCATTTGCCCTTCTCCCTCGTAAAATAATGGGGTTTTGGATTTAACTTCTTTTTATGTCCAATCTATTTACAGAATATATTTGAGGGGTTTTAGGTCCCTTGACAACGGTAACCTCTTTAATCCTAACCTTTAATTTTATCCTGATCAGCTATTGTGTTACCCCTATATAGTCACTCTTAGGATTTGTCCTTGACCTCCCCTTGCTTACACACTTCATTCTGACTTTCAGATTTTTAAAGAACTTTTTAGCCAGACCTTTTTTGGTCTTAATATGGTTCCTGTCTTTCTTTATGAGAAATAATTTGTCATTTCGTCTTCAATATAATGCTTTTTATTAATTGCTAGCCTGCTCAAAGAGCCTGTCTCTCTTAGACTCTTAGGAAGAGAGAAGATGGTTGCCTAAGTTTATTGGTCTGACTTTTATTTTTTTTAAATATATTGTCGTCACAATACTGCACATACTTTTCCTCAGAATCACAAATTCTACTATCATAAGACAGGCGTCACCTAATTGGCATTGCATGCAAGTATTCTCCAACAGTTTTCACCTGCTGTGTTCATATCTGGCAATTTTTGCCACTTTTAGAATAAAAAAAAATCAGATGTTTCCTATCAAACTGTTTTTCAAAGCAATCTGAGTAACTCAAATTTTTCATTACCACCAGTCCTGTCAGCTAACCAGTTATTTTCCAGTGTCTCCCATGATGATTGTTTTGATTGTATTTTTCAAGTTAGGTCAGTGTATTTGTTGAAAGAAAACCCTCTTCAATTCTCTTAAGTTTTTACACCCTTAGAATTTAGTCTTGGGTTCAGCAGGAAGATAAAAAGAATTTGTTTTTAGTATTTACTTCAGTTTTTTCATAATAAAGATTTTAATAAGAAATCTCAATAAATTTGCTGAATATTTGAAAAGTCAAATGTTTCTAAGAGTGTAGCATGTGTTCTGTTTTACATTTAGTCAAAAAATATACTTTGGTTTGTTCCCCAAATAATGGTTCATCTCACAAATACTGAATGTGTAAAAAGAGATTTAAAATTTGTATTGAAAACAGCCTTATGTGCAATGTGTTTCAGCAGTTAATAACTGCTTTCTGCATTGTCAGACAAAACACACACTTCATATGCCAATGCCAGCTCATAAGTTCAAGAACAAGTGAAAGCTGTTATGAACATTTTTTTCTTACTGATCCTATGCAAAGATCCCAAAGTGCTTTTAGCCAAGGCTGCAAAGCAATTCAAAATCACTCAAAGCTGCAGAAGTATTTCTATGGCCTGATTTTGTTGCTTGGTGGGGCTTTGTTGGTTTGTTTGTTTTCCCAAAGCAATCACTTGTGTTGTGTGCCTATGAAACTTCTTTCAGGAAAGATACTGACATACTTAGTTCTGTGTTTTATGTGGTTTTTCAGTTAGAGCTTTGTTTCCTGTGTTCCTTAGTATATGAACAACTTTTTTGCATGTAAATTAGCATTTTGCATGCTTCTGGCAACCATACAAATCCATAAATCACCCATGCCAAGCCCTTTGAAGGTCCTGTGTATGCACGTTGCCAGCCTGTGCCAAAGCCTTTCCCATAATGACAGATTCCATCTTGGGCACAGTGATCATGAAATGACGGGTTTTAAAATTCTTGGAGAAGGAAGGAGGTGGGCCAGCAGAACTGCCTTGGGTTTCTAGAGAGATTGGCCCCCATCCTGAAGTGCAAAGGAGTCCAGAAAGGCAGAACACTCTCCAAGAGGGAAATCTTACATGCAGGAGCAAGCTGTCCCATGTGCCAAAAGGTGGTGAGGAAAAGTGGCCTGGCTGAACAGAGAACTTGGACAGGAACTCAGAGAAAAAAGATTTTATGACCTTTGGAAGAAAGGGCAGGAATCTCAGAAGAACTACAAAGATAATGTGAGCTTACGGGGAATACAATTAGAAGGGTCAAAGCACAACCAGAATTTAATCTGACTACTGCCCTAAAAGACAATAAAAATGTTTCTATAAATGCATAACCAGCAAAAGGAGGGCTAAGGATAACTTCCATTCTTTATTGGATGCAAGGGTAAACAGTGACAAAGGACAAGAAAAACCATGAGGCATTAAAGTGGTTAACAACAAGTTATTCTCAGGTTACTCAGCCCTGTGAATTGGAAGGCAGGGATGGGGAGCAGAATGAAGTCACCACAATCCAAGGGGAAAGCTCAGTGACCTGCTCTGCCACTTAGACACACTCAGGTCTTATGGGGCCAGCTAGGAGCTGGCAGAACTCACTGAGCCACTTTCCACCATTTCCCAGCAGTCCTGGCTAACCAGGAAGGTTAGGGGAAATGCAACACCTGTCTGCAAGACTGGAAGGAGGATCAGGGAGCTGCAGGCCTGTCATTCTGACCTTGGTGCTGGGGAAGTTCATGGAGCAGAACATCCTGATGGCACTCAGGACAGCCAGGGGATCAGGCCCACACAGCATGGGTTTGCAAAAGACCCTGAACAACTGGCTCTCCCACAACAAGGTGACCCTCTCAAGTGGATTAGAGAAAGCCTGTGGCTGTTGTCCACCTGGATCTTAGTCAAGCCTTTGATGTTGTTTCCCACAGCACTCTCCTGGACAGACTGGATTCCTATGGCTTGGAGGGGTGAGCTCATCTCTGGGTAAGAAAGTGGCTCAACTCATGGCCCAGAGGGGGCTGAGTGGTGCTACGTCCAGCTGGGGACTGCTCACCTGTGCTGCTCCCCAGGGCTTGGGTTTGGAGCCAGTCCTGCTTAATGTCTTTACCAGTGATTTGGATAAGGGGATCGAATGCACCCTCAGTCAGTTTGCAGACAAGCTGGGTGGAAGTGTTGATCTGCTGGAGGGCAGGAAGGCTCTGCAGAGAGATTTGAACAGGCTGGATCCATGTGGCATATGGATATGAAGAATGTGTAAAGACTACTTCCACACAGGAGAGCCTGAATTGGTAAAATTCAAATGAATGCTTGTCAAAGCTCAGCAGAATCAGAAGAATAATTAAAATTTCAGCATACTGTAGAGAGGGAATATGTGGTCATTGGTCTAGGAAACAAAGTATCTTAATTAACATGGCTAACAAGTGATTGTAGCAATGTTTAATTTTGAAATCTGTATATTACCAAACCATAGCTATGTAAAGTACTCTGACCTTAAGATCATGATATAACTTCTGAAAAATTATTCTCAGAATGCAGAGCAGAGAGGGAGATGCAAAGATTTTAATTGTTTTTCAAAGTTTTCATCTACAAAAATAGATGCCTTTCTGAGCATGAGTGAATGAATGCTGGTGCCCTTCTCTCTTCTAATTAAACACTTCCCACTTCACTTCTGCTCTGCCAGCTCAGATAAAGTCTGGAAATCAACAAAGAAGCAAACAGCAAGAAAGTAAAGAAAAATGGAAAAACAGGAGAGGAGATAAACAGTGATGAAATATATGGGAATCAAAGGCACCAAAGATGCACCCCAGTTTATGCCAGGGTGATGAAAGGCCCATCAATAAATACCACTAGGGTCAATGGTGTATTTCAGAGTGTATCTATATACACAGAGTGGAAAGGTTCCTTCCCCTACCTTTTCTTACCATACTATTTCAGCAAGATCTGTGTATGTTCAACGCAATTTTATATTTCATAACTTACCATACAGTATTTTCATGCCTTAGACAAGGCTTGTAATATTTGGAACCAGCCATAGATTAGATATTGTCAAACACACAAAGATCAGAAATTCCCTGAGCTTCATAATGCTAAAGCAGAGAATATGTATTCTTAAACTTTTCCCTGTAGCTCTGTTACTGATCAGTGTCATGGAGAAGACACTGTTCTGACTCCCTGTGGTCATCCTCCTGTGTAATAGATTGCTTGTACTTTAAAATGGAAGAGAATGACCACTGAGTTTGAAATGTTACAAGCAAATATTTCCCAAGACATTTGCTGTGGGTATTGATCTAATTGTACATGAAATACAAATCCTCATTGAAGATGAATTATTGAAGAACAGAAATTATGAGTTGATATGAATTCTGAAGTAGAGCTTGCACAGGTCTTAAATGTTCCATGAATTTAAACTGTGACTTGTTTCAAGGATGGAATCTGATCAAAGCAGGTTGCAGGGTGGATGGGGGAGCTCAAAAACTTAAATGTTGTCTAATCTTTGAAAGGGTAAATGTGGATTAGACATCATGTAAAGACTGTGCAGACACACAGTAGAACTTTCAGATACATAGCTGCATAGCAGTAATTTATTTATTTAGTTCATAGTTTTGATCTGAGTTAATGTTAACTGACTCTTGTTATTCCACATAAACTAAAATAGAAACCTGTTGACCAGCCCGTTCTGCTTTTGTTTGCTGTATTTTTAGAGTTCTCAGACACTGTTTCTTATTCATTCACATTAAAACATGAAGTAAGAACATGGTTTATAGTTGGATTGTTCCTAATACTTAAAAATCAAGTAATCTCTGTGCAATTTAAATGTGACTACACTTCAGTAGAGCTTTGAGATAATTCATCTATGCAAAATGGCATAGTAAATTTTAGCATCTGCCTGTGTCTATTTAAGCAACATAAATAATTTACTGAACTAAAATTTCTTCATGGTTAATAAAGGAAATTTAATTTAATTACTATGTAATTTTAATAATTATGGAAGAACTTTGTACTTTATAATTCATACATACTTTATTGCAAGTATATGTCAGAGCAAAGTGCAGCAGATTAAGCACAGTGTGAAATAAGGAATATGCAATTTTGCTGCATTTGAGATAGCACATTGGATCTGACTGATTCACCTGGACTTAAGTAGAGGCAAAGTACAACTGTAGAGAGTGAGCTCATTTGTGTTCTCTGCCAGTCTTCACTTGAAAGAGGTAAGGTGCCTGCCCAGTGCTGTGTTCCTTGGGTGCTTTCTTAAAAATTTTTAATACCAATTTCTATTCTGGAATTGAATTGATCTTTAAATCAATTTTCAGTGTTTATGCATAAATACAAGAGAAGAAAAAAGGCTGACTCATTCAAAAATACTAAAAGAAAACCAAAACAGTTTAAAAAACAATTCCAGATCCAAGTTCAAATTTCATGAAAATCAGGATTTGGGCTTGTGAATTAAGGTTTGATTTAAAGTAATTTATAATTTAATACTCCATAATAGCAACAATAATCAAAGCTTTCAGGGAAGATGATACATGACAGTAGAAAATACAAGTACAACAGAATTTAAATGCTTAAAGGGAAGCACTGTGCCAAATTTCATGGAAGATAATTTTCGAGTTTATGATTATCCCAATGTCAAATGACCAACTTTGCATAAAATGGCAAATTATATTTTAATATTAAATCATAGTTATTGCTGAATAGTTTCAGGTAGAATAGAAAATTCTGATTTGCTGACTTTGTGTATGGTAGGCAGAAAAATTAACTTTCAAACCTGAACTTTATTACAATGATTTGTCTTGGGCATTTTTTAAATAAATACACTGAATTTTTTCACTCTGGAACACTGTTTGCTGAATCTGCTGCTAAGTCATTAGATTTATAAGGAATGTGGCTTTATTGCAACATAAGCCACTGTGGAGAAGGGTACTGGCCTCTGCAGACTCTGTGCTGACACTGGCAGGAAATAAGCCCTGACCAAAGAGCTTTTTTGGTAGATCTATTTTCTGCCTTCAGCAAAGCCACTGTGGGGAGCCCAGTCCTTAAAAAAAAAAATTTAAAAGAGCATTAAATAGTTTGGTTTGAGACTAAGTAAATATATCCTTTGAGAGTGTAGGAAATATTTGTTTACCTGATTCATTCTAAGCTGTTGTTGACAGAAACTCCTCTTCAGAGAATCTGGGATTTGCCTAAGTAAGGACTCCAGGATTTAGTTCAGTAATAGCCTAAGCCTTCTTCTGTACTGAATGAAGCATTAATGTACCCCAAAAGGTGGATAAAATGAGGCTCAAAGCTGTTGAACCCTTGTGAGTTTTGAAAAGGCTAAAGAAAAGTTATTTTGCTTTGTTTACTAAACTTTTCTTTAAAATCTGATGGAAACCTGTGACCTGTTATTTCAAGCTTTGGATAGAAATATATAAATCAGATAAAGTGAATTTTCCAGTGCATGGAAATCTTTCCAGCACTAGGAAAGCCATGTCTCTGAGTACTGTTTGAGCTACAAACAGTCAGCAGAACTAATGTTACTGCTTCTGTCCCTTCAACCATTGGTGTCTCTATTTCACTATAGTTTGGATTCGGGGAGTAAGAAAAAATCAACTCTGATAATTAAAAGTTGTGCTTTTCTTTTGTCATTACATTCTTCTTGATGACTTTTTGCCACACTCAAAATTGCATTATGTTTCATTGCCTAGCATGGCACAAGGTGACAGGTGAGAGATGTTCTAAGTGTCTCAGCACAGCACTCTGTGTCGGAAAAATGAATGATTTGTCAGAAATGAGACTTCAGGAAAGGAGAGGTCCTTCAAAGATGGGATAAGACCACTTTGACAGAGGCTTACTGTATTGAAAGTATTTCAGTATTTCAGTATTTCAAAACCTTTCTTTTCAGGAAAGGAGAGGGCCTTCAAAGATGGGATAAGACCACTTTGACAGAGGTTTACTGTATTGAAGCTCAGTATTTCAAAACCTTTCTCCTTCAGGACTTTTGTACTAGAAGTCATAAATATTGCCATTTTCAGCTGCGGTCTGTGTTACAGCTCTGTACTGCTGCAGGAGGACTGGCGCAGAAGGAAGATGCCACTGAGGAGCTCAGCAGGATTCATGCTGCTCTTGCTCTCTCAGTGCACTGTGTCCCTGGGCACCAAAGAGGCAGTGGTCCTGGCTAATGCCCACCTCCTCCCCCAGAGAGACTATGAGAGACTGGGAAATGCTAATGAGAAAGGTACTCATAAAGACAGAGAGTGATTTGGAAGTGTTCTGTGTTTTACTTTATTGCTTTGCTGTAACATTTTCAAGCAACATATACCAAAGCTAGCCCTGGAAGAATAATTTGCAATATGAACATGTCCTGCTACAAAGTCCTGAACCTGTCTGTAGAAGTTGTTCTATAATGATCACTGAGAAGGGCAACTGTGAGGGTCACTGATGTATTGCTGGCCTGGACATCACCATATAAATTACTTAAATAATCCTGTAAAATCATGGCATCACATTGGAGTGAGGTAGGCTATGTCTACCAGGCAAATGTAATTTTTACTGAATTCTTCTCACGGAGACAATAAAATTGTCAAGTTTTTATTAAATGCAAATTACCAATATTTCACAATTTAATGACATAAGGACATGCCTTTCAACACTATGGAAAAGTGAGTAACTGCAATTTACAAACATATTTCTAAGTAACAGAACAATGAATACCATCCTTGTGTACAAAAGGAGTTCTCTCTCTATAAGTTCATACATATGTAAATGTATATTTAAATTAATTATATTCTGACTCTTAAGAAACCTCAGAATCAATGGTAAAATTCAGAGCATTGTGCTGCAGTCTCAGAGATGCTAGATATTATACTAGAGCAAGAAGTTACCTTATATACACATTACATTTAAAAAAACCCAGTAAATATTTTAGAAGCGGTCAACCCAAGCCTTATATGACATTTTTGTTACCCTCTGAGTCTGCTGGATAAGCAATAAAATGGAAACAGGAGTTTCATCCATCTTCCTGATACTGGTGTTCAGCACTGATCAGAATTGTAGTCCTAGCTGCAAATCCATGATAAAATTTAGCCTGGAGTTTGAGTGAAAAGAACTCATCCTAAGAAAATCCTCAGTTGTTTATGAGCCTTATATTAACTAAAAATATGCTTTAATATCTCCCTTTTATCAGTGAACACATGGCATACCTTTCAGAATTTAACACAAGGATGTTAGAGGTGCCTGAAGTATAAATTGGTTCAAGAGAAATTAATTCGTTCATTGAGGAAAAGACTAGGTCTAGTTATTAAACTCAATTATCCTACAGATGGCACAGGGAATTGCAGACTTGCTGCCTACTCAGTCTGGAAGAACACTGGTGGAAAAAGAATGATCTGCACATAGGTTTTGGCTTGTCAACCACATTTCTGTCATAAATACTAAATCATACTTCTGTTGTATGACAGAGTAACAAACCATTTTTTGAATTTCTGAATATTTCCTGCATATTCCTCCCAAATCTTCCCCCTTTAGCTAAATAAACGGCCATAAGCTGCAATGAAGTCAGGCAGCTTCCAGTCTGAAGAGAGTCATTCAGTCACTCTGAAGGTCAGAGTTCAATTTATGAAATGTATTATTTGAACAGAATTTACTTTAATTTGTGTGTGTTTGGTTTTTTTTTTAATTTTTTAAAATTTTTTTTATTTTTTTTGCTCAGACTATCCAAGGGATTGTTTTGAAATTTTAAAGCACTCCAAAGGAAATTCCAGAGATGGCCTTTACATCATCCGACCAAAAGAGGAACCGATTGTTGTCTTTTGTAACATGCAGGATGGGGGTTGGACAGTAATCCAGCACATTACAGCCAACAGCACTGTCGACTTTGACAGGACCTGGCAGGACTACAAATATGGATTTGGCTCTGTTCATGAGAACCACTGGCTAGGAAATGAATACATGCATCAGTTAACTGGCAGCTCAGTGCAATATATACTTGGAGTTAAACTTGTAAATCTAAATGCTGAAGTCAAATGGGGACAGTATGAGCCATTCCTGATTGAGGGGGAAGAGTCTCAATATCGAATCAGGGTTGGTCTTTACAAAGGCAACGCCACTGATGCTCTGACCCTGGACACAGAAGCTTATCTCCATGACAACCAGAAGTTTACCACCAAGGACAGAGACAATGACAATTACTTTATGAATTGTGCTAAGCTGGAACTCAATGGCATTCCTGGAGGAGGCTGGTGGTACGATGCATGTGCTGGGGCAAACCTGAACCGCAGGAACGTGATATACTGGCAAAAAGACTGCAGCAAGCAACATCCCTGCAAGTTTGCATGGATGATGATCAAACCCATCGAGCAGCACCAGTCGTACCCTACCAAGGCCTGCTCCTGTCAGAAAGTTGAACTGTAGACAAGCCATGTGTATCTAACAGGAACAGGGACTCTTTCTCAAGTGACTGAAGTGAACTCACTGACTGAGTAATAACCCTAAGTAACCACGACTGGAAATTTAAATTGGGCCTCTGTAAGGGCTTTATGTTGTCATATTGTCCAGGACTGGAACATGTCACAGAGATTTGCCAACCATACAAGTGAGAAACTGTCAGAAACTGAGGCCTTTACCACAAGATTTATGTAACCAGAAGATTTAAATAATTAATTTTATGCTATTTTAGCCATAAGACAAGTCCGATATGAAATCCAGGATGTGATGTCTTGTACAATACATACATGAATAAAAATGCATTTCAGAAGGTTTTGCTCTGGTGTCAATGTTCATTATTGATTGCACATCTATAATTGCACATCTTCATATATCATGCAGAGAGGAAATTTCCAGTCAAATACCTACATTTACAAAATGCATACTGAAGGGTACTGTGTATCATAGGACTCCAATGGGCCTTTTCTTTCTAACATTATGTTTTCTAACATTATGTGAATGTTATTTTAATATTTAAAATTGGAATTAACCTCATCTCCCATGGCTTCTTTCCCCCTTCATTGACTCTTTTATCTCTATTTTTTAATGATCCCATATACAGTGAAGTATTCAGCACAGGCTTTTCTTTTCTGCCTTCATTTTAGAACACTCAGCACTAATGGGATTGCCAGATTTCCCATTGATAGCCACTGATCCAAAGCTTACAACCCCTCTGAATTTTTTCCCCAAGAAACTCTGCGAATACATTTTAAAAAGATCAGATTGATATTGCAATTGCTTATTTATTCCTCCATTTTTACCTGAATTACTCCACTTTATTTACCATTATTTGACTGTTCCATGCTGTGCTTCAGCTTTTTTTTTCATACCACTGTGAGAAAAGAAGAGAATGCTGCCTTTATTTCATATTTAATAATTTCAGTTGTTTTAGTACTCAGTCTTGACATCAACTAAACAGTGCCTTTTTTCCTAATTATAAAATAAAATAAAGTTTCATTATAAATTATTCTGTTTTAAAACAATAAACAAAAGGATTTAAATTTTATAACCTTGAAAACCTTGTTTTCTTTTACCACTGTTTGAGTTGCTTCACACAGTTCTGTATCATTGGAATAACTGAATGACAACCAAAGAGTTCTTATTGTTGCCTTTACAAAATGTCAGAATAGTAATTAGATTATCATGTGTGGTTTTTTAGATATTTCAGTTAAAGAAACTCCACCAACAGACACTGTCAAATTCCTGCTTTTTAATTTAAAACACTATTTATAATTTTCATGAAAATTGTTTCAGAAAATAAATTCTTTTGTATTTTGAGAGGACCAATACTGTCGTGATGCTTAAGATGAGAAACTGTTTTGGAAGCAGAAAAGCCAAGAAAGCAATTTTTAGTTTTCTTGATGCACTGCAACATTTTCAGAGAGATACAGCTATGTGATGTGGGTGAGGCCAATATAGCACACATGCCAATTTTGCAGCATTTGATTTTTTTCCCCCTGAATGTGTGTTCAAAGACAGCAGTGTGATAGGAGAAGAAATGGTTAGTACCTGAATTGAGTTTATGTCATTGAGACAATTTAATGTGGGTTCTGCATAATTCTATCAGGATGCCTCTAAAGTTGGGCTGACGATACAAGAAAATCACCTGAGTGCTGCCAGTCTCACAAAGCTTTTGTTAGAATCCCTGGCCATATAGCCAGATGTTCACACACCTTCCAAAAATGTGGTTTTAATGACCGTGACATGGAAGTGTGGAAGGGAGAGTCCACAGGCTGCATCTGATCATCAAAGGCAGATAACCTACTCTGCAGCACGCCCTTAGCATGTTTTAGAGGATTTTGGAGGTAAGGACTCTGCAAATAAGCAGTATGAATAACTTGGGCACCAGCAGAACAAACCCAGCTGCCCAGTGCCAGAGGGACTCTAGTTAATACTTTAACTAGCCTTACAAACCTATGTACTGAATTCCACTATGAAAATTAGATTTAAATGTAGTAAAAACTCATAACAAGAAGTTTGCCAGCAAAAAACCTGAGACATTTAATTGAACTCAGGGACTGAGCTACATTCCAAACTTCTGAACAAAGCATGGATGGAAATGACTAATAGAGCTCGGTTAGGGACTAAGTAGTGGGTTAGGGACTAAGGATGAAAATGACTAAGAATATTCTAGAACATCCATCAGCACGGAACCTTTAGAAGTAGACTAAACTTTACTTCATTATTCCTTAGCAAAAGACTATCTTAACTGAACAGATTTTTTTTCTTCCATTTCTGAACGTTGATCACCAGATACCCAGAGTGATGCTGAAGGCATCTGGCCTTCATCACCACTCAGTGAAATCACAGACTGAAACATAGGGGTTCCTATCCTACGTCTCCTAAGTTCTTTTGCCAATCACATTTCTCTTATACTCTCTCTCTTAGCCTTTCCTGAATTTACTGTCTCCTGCAGTATGGGAAAGAACGAGGGTCTTCCCAGAAGTAGCTGCTGAAACAAATTTATTTGGTCAAATAAACAGCCTTCCAAACTGAGTAAGTATGACAAGGTCTAGAGTGAAAGCTCCAGCTCTAAGCACCTGTGAATGGGAGGCATGTTCCACTTCAACCATGCAATCTCTGAACAACAGCAGTGAAATAATTTTCTTTACCTCTCCTACTTTGCCTTTCTCTGCATTTATATTGTCAACAGCAGGAAATGTACACACACTCTCACATACAATACCACATTAATCAACTCAGAATTTGTTTATTATTTGTCTTTTAAAATAATTCAGTTTTCATATGAGAAAGTGTTTGCTTTTGTTTCTGACTTTACAGAGTTCAGGTAACCTTATTTTTTGTGTATAACCATGGATTTAGAAGTATGACAAAGTGATTTTAGGGGCTAACTGACTAAGGTTTTTAATTTATTGATGCAATACACTGTATCAAAAAATTAACAATTTTAGCTGTATGGCCTGATTTCCTTCTACTAGAATTAACAAAGAGTCTTTTAGTCATTCTCATGTCTTTTGTGTTTCAGAAGGCATCAGACCACAGTCAGAGTGGGGGGCTACAGAGCTGAATCCAGCTGAATACTCCACTGTACCCTCTCTCCACTCTTCCTCCTACAGCTACCTGATGAATTGCACACTAAAGGAAGCCTTATGGACAGCACACACTAAAAACAACTATCTGACCTCCACTACGTCTAGGTTGCTGCTGCACGTAAGGATTAAAAGATATTTCAGCTTTGATCTTGGCACTGCAATCCAGAAATTCAGTAAAAGTCCCCTCATTTTAAGAGGTCTACTGAAACAGAAGCCATCAGCAATCAGGGTCTGGAGGAGGACCTGCTGAGAAGAAAACTTCTGAAGGATTTGAAACGTTTGGTTTATTTGAGGAGGACTGACTTTGGTATATCAGCAGATACATGAAGAAACTAGTGACATTTAGTGACCAATGGAAAAAATACTGAGTGAAAGTCAGTGCTTTCAGTGTGTGTAATATGACTGAAGTTCCTTAATTGTAAAAAAATACATTTATCAAGATGGAAAAAACAATTGTAACACCATTTCTTTCTGAAACCACTAGTAGACATAGTTTATCACCTGTTTTACAACACGATGTTATGAATTTCTAATTGCTTTAACTACTTATGGGGTAACTATTAATAAAATCATAAAGAAGCTTATTAAAGCTCAAAGTTTTATGACAATTGTCAAATGTATGTGTAAGAACATTTCTTAAAGAGTTCAAAAGGTGGTAATGGAGATTTGGGGGAGACCACATGAGAAAGAGAGTGGCCTCTTACTGACTTGTGGGGGTTAAAGTCAAGTAGTGAAGTGAAAAGACACCATGTCGTTTTCTAGAGTTAAGGTTTAGCCTGTGTTTCAAAACAGAGAAGCCACTGACTATCCAGCAGCTGCAGGAGCATTACATTTATCTACAAACATAAATCATATTTGCAAAAAATGAATGTTAGTTGACAAATTATGGGGATCTGGAATATGTAGGGATGGTGGCATACATATGAAAAGGGAGAGACAAAAATCATACCCCTGGTTTGTGGGAAAATTCAATACTTTAAAATACAAAAGGTGCTGGGTCTCTGAAAAGCTTAGTTAGGGATGTGTATTTAAGCATCTATATTGACAATACATACATATCTATATATATGTATGTGTATGAAATTATGTAAAACCAAAATGTAGTTTTACAAAAAGCATTTCATTAGTCCATGACAACAATCACATACACAGGATCAGTAAAAATGTCATTAAAAGGACAGATAACAAGATAACAAGATTTTCCTACACTGCAGAAATTCCACAACATTTTTTCGGTACAAAGTACAATCAAGTACTAACTGATACTCTGATGAGGACCACATTTGTCTTTTTGAGGTTTTGATGTTTTTTAAGAATAAGCATTCTACATAACAATAAAGTAACATACACCTCTTTAGACAATTCTTGATATTTACAATGTACTCATGTGTAGCCATGTAATCCCTCACATGGTTAGGTGCTAGCAGCATAATTTGTGCACATATTTCACAATTACATTGAACCAACACTGTTGCATCCATCACTGTATATTCTAATACATTTACTGAGCAGAGTCCATAAACATTTACAGATCATTCTTGATCAACAGACTTCAAAAACAAAAAAAAAATTAAAATACTCCATTTAATTCCAGCAAGAGACAATGCTTCATTTCAGCAATAACAGTGCAGCTAGCAGGAACTGTTACTACCTCATAAATTTTGCCTTTAACTACAGCTTGTGCCCCCAGAGAGACACATTCATTTGTTAAAAATCAAACATAGTTTACTGAATGACTGGTCTGATGTAATATAAAATAAACCCACTCTAATAACCAATTTGTACATAGTTACTGTACACAGGAAAAGCTCTGGATAGTGACAGAACAAAGCTGATGAAAGAGTTTTTATAAAGACCTCTGCTTTCCTTTCATAAGTAACCATATGCTAATGCACAAAGCATAATAGGCCCAGTATGGTGTGCTACAAATTAACCATGGGGCTTAGAGAACATATTTTGCATTAGTACACTGCTAATCTTTCACTAACAAAATTTTCCCCTGTGGACACTGGGGCTAAAAAAATGTTAATCACTTGTACTCTCATTGTTGACACGGAGGATTTATCTATCTGTAGGAGAACATTCTAATGCTACGATAATTTAATAGGTTACATAAACAATTTCACTGAGAGCAGTGGTACATTCACGATGACTTCTACAATCCCTGAAATGTGCACCTGGGTAAAGTCACCACTGCAATGTCCTGCTAAAGTGTACAGTAGATATAATATAAAGATTGTCTCAAACTAATATTCCAAAGTTTCTCATTCAGAATTTTGCAAGAAAGGCTAGAACTGAATCTGAACTTTTTGTACATGAAGATCTTTCTCATTTCCTCATAAACATTTTTCTTTAGTACTTCCACACCTCATGACTCCTGTTGCTGTTAACTTTGTTTTTGCAGGACCTTTTCTGAAGCTTCTTGTTTGTTCCCACCACAAGGAGGTCACCAGCTCCATTCCAAAGGCCTTCTGCTGAAGGCAGCCCCTTGCTTACCCACTCACTTGGTCAGTGCTGCAGGGCTCCTGCCAATCTAGCACAGACATCAGGAAGGCACAGGCAGCTCAGCTCTGGCACCAAAAGCCCTCTCAAATCTCAGCCAGTGTTCAGTCTCAGCTCGTAACTAGGCCAGTACAACCCAGTCCCAGCAGCCACAGCCACCAGGGGTGTTGCCTTCAGCCACATCTGTAGCAGATGTGGTTTTGCTGGACCAAAGAGAGTGCCTGAAGATAGTGCCTGACTACTACTTGTAAAGCTATCTAACGACAAAGAATTCGAAGTGTTTCTAATAGTGTTACAGAAACATTAAAAAGTTGCTTAAAAAATCTTTCCTCTTTACAGGATGCCCGTTCTCTCACTGTTTATATATAGGTAAATGTTATGGAAACTTTCAAAGCAAGGTGTAGCACAACAAAGGAGGTTGCAAAAAAGACTTTCCTTCTGTTGTAGACAGACTGTGTCCATTATGCTGTACAGTCAGTTCTGATTTGTACCATTGTCACTGTGAATAATATTTTATAATTTCCTTCAGAGGTACTGGGAACTGGAGAAATTCAGAGGTATCACCACTTTTACAAATGACAGTGACTTGCAGGATGGAAATGATATTGGGACTGGCTCCTTCATGTACAAAATGCATTATCTATTTCTTCACTATAAGCCTTTCTACTATAAGCCCTTCCTAAGTCTCCACAAGAGTCATCCTTAAAGTGGACATTTTCTCAGTTATATATTGTCCTATAATATGTGTGTTCACTTGGAGTATTATGAATCTCCCTAACCACTAAGAATTGGGGATGACAGCGTTTACCCTTTAGATAGTCCTTGTTTCATCTCAACAGCTGATGGTAAAGCCTCAAAACAGAGGTAGCACAGGCTGCATTGCTTGGAACACTGAAAACTACATAAACAAAACACTAGCAAAGAACTATAGAAAGAAACAGTTCTGCTCTACAGGGAGACAGCCTGAATGACCTAACCTGATGACTGGATGATCATCCCCGTCTAATTTCTAGTAGTTTATAGTTTACTCCACCTATTCTCGGACTGAAAGAAAGGACACCAAACACAATAATCGTAATGCAATTCTACTGCATAGTCAAAAACAACCTTTGTTGCTCATAGCAGCTGCTGACATTTTTATCCCAAGCACACTACCTTCATGCAAAGTTTAACTTTTCAGCAGAGTTTTTAACCACTAGACACAACAGCAATGGCTTTGAAGATACAGAATTTGTTAGGTTACATCAATATCTATATTTCTCCTTATTTCTTATATAAGAATGATTATGGCAGTCTGGTATTGCCCTGCCAGTATAGTTTCTCTTCCACTTTTTTCTTTTTCCACTGGCAGAAAAGCAGCATCTTAAAAGTCTTCCTGAAAGTTTTATTACAGAGGGCATAACAAATGGGGTTAACAGTGCTGTTCACATAGCATAACCAATATCCAAGGTGCCACAGTGTTAGGGGGATGCAGTCAGAGCAAAATGTGGAGATCAAAACCATGATATTATAGGGAGTCCATGTGATGATAAAAGCCAAAAGAATGGCACTTAAAGTCTGTGCTGCTTTGCGTTCCTTTATAAGAACCATCCGTTTCCTTTTGGTGATTTGGTTATTTATATTTGGATCCATGCTTTTGATGGAAGGGTCCTTTGACAGAGCAGCAGGAGTTATTTTTACTTTTCGGCAACCATTGTTGGCTTCCTGAGTGCCATCAGCCTTAACCACCAAACGGAATTTATAGGCCACACATTTTTTACTTTTTTGTGTGTGTTCTTTGGTAGGTGACAAAAAGTATTTCTGGTTCTCAAAATCCCTTTCTTCAGGTTGGTCTTTGACAACAACATCTGTGGTCTCATTATACTCTTCTGCCTTACTTTTAGATGGACTTTTGTAAGTTACTTGGAAAACTGAGTCAGTGGCAAGTTTATCCTCGTCTTCTGACGACGCGTAGCTGCTGCAGGTGGTCAACTGGTCAGCCTTGGCCCAGTCCATACAAGCACTCGCTGCCTGGGAGGCCTTCGCTGTAGCTGACGTACTTCGGCTAGATGAAGACCAAGAAGCCTGACACCTCTCTCTTTTGACTAAGTTTTGTTGCTTGCAACTGAAGCAAGACTTCAGGAGAGTTTTCTGAGGCTTTATTGTCTCATACTCTGCCACAGACTCTGAGCCCTGCAGCTCAGCGAGGTCCTTGGTGCGTTTCTCGGTCTCTTTATAAATACGGCAGTACAGAATGGTCATCACAGACACTGGAATGTAAAAAGCAGCAATTGCAGTACCAAAGGTAATAATGGGTTCATACAGAAACTGTATCTGGCACTCATCAGGTGGCACTGTTCGTTCACCCACAAAATACTGCCAGCACAAGATTACAGGTGCCCACAACATGAAGGAAATGAGCCAAGCCATACCAATCATGATGCCAGCTCTTTTGGGTGTGCGTTTGGCCCTGTAAGTTAAAGGCCTTGTGATGGAAAAATATCTGTCAAAACTGATGACTAGGAGGTTCATTACTGAGGCATTGCTAGCTACATAGTCCAGTGCTAGCCACAGGTCACAGGCGAGGCTTCCAAGAGTCCAATGGCCTATGAGTATATAGGAGGTATAAAGGTTCATGGAAAATATCCCAATGATGAGATCTGCACAGGCAAGGCTGAGCAAGTAATAATTGTTGACAGTTTTGAGCTGACTGTTAACCTTAAAGGATATCATTACAAGAATATTTCCCACTATGGTTATTAAACTTACAATTGCAGTTACAGTGGCAATAGTAATGACTTCCCAGAGGCTATGCCCTTCTAACTGCTTATGGTTGATGGATGAACTGTTTACAACAGTAGAATTGCTGAATAAATTGACTTCCATTCTTGTCCTTGGTGTATTGTCATCAGGACCTTAGCACTGCTGCATACTGCTTTCTGTAATCAGAAGCATCCTTGTGGAGATAGCTATAAAGATCAAAGGAAAAAAAAATCAGAAAATTTAATTAGCTCATTAAATAGCACACATTTCCAATAGTTACTATGAAAACACTTGTGAAACAACCAATCACATTATTTGTGCTGTCTTTTTGCATTTTGATTGTTATTTCTACAATTGTGAACATAAGTAAAACACACAAATGTACATCCTAGGACAATGTGCTCTGGCATTTTATGACATTTCAAAATGCAATCTAAATATTATTTCACAAGACAGTCAACCACCCCAGCTCTTACATTTTGAGTATCTTAGGAACACTCTACGTATTCTCAAACACAGACATTTAAAGTTTTGCAGTTAAGACAGTGAGTCACTGTGTGGTTTCCTACATTATTTAAAATGCAGACCAAGGTTTCAGGAATTATCTTTGAAAAATTTGTAAAAGTCACCCACAACAGAAAGAGAGCAAGCAAATACTGGGGGTGCATGGGAGTTAGGAGCCACACTAGCATGGTGACAGCAAGAAACAAATAGGTGTCAGAAGTGCTTGAGGCAATGGAGGGCAATCTTCGAGCAAATGAAGCAGGCGAGGCCAAGAAGATGTTTGTGGACAAAATTCAATCGAGAGGTCTTAGGACAGAGGAGGCTGATGGAGTTAAGCATGAAAGTACAGTCTGGGAACTTGGGATGAGTGAATGTAGGATTCAGGATACAGTGCAGTAAATTGCAAAGGAAGAAACAGAAGATAACCACACTGGTAAAAAATGCAAATTTAATGCAACCCATTTTACATACCAATTTAATACTTGCATAAGCACTAAAAGATGAAAACAGAACCACTCTATTAATGCATACATGCCACTGACATCCATTGCTTTCTACATTCCTCACTGACATTTCTCATGCCAGTGAACCTGTATTAGGCAAGATTTCTTTCAAAGATACCTCCTGGGTTTTTGGTAATTCCATCACATCAGGTGATGCTAATCACTTATTCAACACTTAGTTTCACTAAACTGTGTAATTTTGAAATAGCCAAATAGCATTCAGTTTTTAAAGTCAGAAATGAAAACTAAATTGTTAACAGATTTTTCTACTGGGCTTTTGGTCTGTATAAAACTGGTATGACCTCTTTTTTCAAAGCAGACAGCGGTTCAGCTAAAATTATCACATGAATAAAGTCCATTTCTAAGTCTTTAAGATTCTCTCTACATCAGATCTCTATTATATAGTCCTCCCTATCCATCCACATCACTTCTCTGTTCATCTTTCATCCTAACTCTCAGAACATTGTTTTCTTTGGTCTTGGCAAGTGTCTTTTATTAACTGCAATCTTTTACAGACTATCTCTTTCCTACATCTGACTTTTGAGCCAAGAAGTTGTGCCCTGTCTCTCCCAGCTGAATAGAAGTTTTTACAGACACTAGTTGAACTTTCAGAAAAATATGTAATTTTCTTTCACTGTCCTCGTTGTCCAACCTTAGAGGTGTTTAAGAGGTGCCTGGACCTGGCACTGGTTTAGTGGTTTAGAGGTTACAGTGGTAGTTCTGGGTTCTGGACTTGATTTTACAGGCCTCTTCCAGCCTTGATTGTTCTACAGTTCTGTGGTTCTTAATTGCTTTTACTGTTTCCTTCAGTTTTTTCCCCAGGTCTCCTAAACATCCAGAGAAGTGTATCATGTTTCTACTTCAAACCCTGCTTAAATGGTGATCTCTTGCTGTGATGAAACTGGATAATGGTAAGTTTCCTGATATACTGAGACTTCTGCCTATTGTACTTCACAGAATGGTTCTCCTCCATCTATGTGTGTCTGTCATCTCCTATTTTATATTTAAATTTTTCTGCATTTGTATTCTGCTTATACACTGAGCTGAATTCAACAGGATTCTAATTCATGTATAGACCTTGCAGACTAGCAACAATCATAATACATGCATGTTGACCATCTGTATGCTTGGCTCTCTCTCCAACCTCCAGAGCCAGTGTAGCAGCCAAGAATAGCTGAAGTTCTACAGCAGTTCCAATTAGTCCTATGCAAAGAAGGACATTTCATCCTGGTTCTGCATTCTGGAAAGATCTCCCCCAAGTCAGAGCTGTCTTGATGGCTGGTGCACTGGCTTTACAAATCTTTACAAAAACTTGGAAGGGTAGGAATTCATTTCATGCGAAACAAAGGTGTGTGGAGCAGCTGCATGGCTGTGGCAGGTAACTGAGCAGTGAGAGAGGAATCTCTGTTTCTGTTACCTCACACGTCTTATCCTTCTTTTTCTGTGGACAGCACAAAGTTGTTCTTTGCATTAAAAGCTCCATGTGACTACATTTTCAAGCACAGCAGTGTGGCAGTGGGTTTAGTGTGGCAATCTCAGGGAATAATGAGGGCTGTTCACTCTGTGAGGGAAGGTGAGGACAGCAGCTGGGAGCTGAGGCCTGACCAAGAACCAGCAGGATCTGGAGAAGCACGTTTGGCTCATGAGAACTCGAGAGGCAGTGATAGTCCAGGGCTTGCACAGCAAGTCTGGAGTGATGACACGTCTGAGACCAAGGCAGGAAGCTCAGCCAGCAGGTCTGAGTCAAGATCTGAGCCAGGACTGAGGAGATAGAAGGCCAGGTGTAGCTGTAGCTGCTGCCTGGCTGCGATGTAGCACAGGAAAGGGCCAGCGGTACAACTCACTGGCCTTGGGCTTTTGCATGATATCAGCTAAGGCTAGGGATGGTCTTAAAAAGGCACAGCTATGAATATCAGGTATATGAATAAACCTTTACAAACTGCATTTACCTAACTCCCAGGTTTGAGCAGCCATTGTTTCAAGTTTCTTCCTTCTTTTTTTTTTTTTTTTTTGCCAAAAATGGCACTTGCCTCAGAAGAAGGAAGACTGGAAAGTGTATAGATGCTGTGGCCTGTAATGCTTTGTCTTTACCATAGAAGGCAAGTGTCCCCCCCTCTCAGGTCACTTACATTCCCTAACATTAGCAATTAGGAAGAACGCGGCTTGAACTATGCCACATGGATTGCAGGCTTCAGAGCAACAGGAGAAGCAGAAATTGTTGTTGTTGCAGTTGTTGTGACACAGATGTTCTTGGTTTAAACTGACATGGGTTGAAGAAATACTGATAATACATTATGGGAACTACATAATTTCTTAATAATTTGTTAATAAAAAGCACTATTTGATCATGCAAAGCCTTCCCTCCCTAATGGGCTATTTTACTGTGATGTCTATAAAGTTGACAACAGTTGACTTACAAGTACGCAAAAATCTCTTCTTGGCATGTTGGCCATTCTTGTCATCTCATCATTCTCTATCCTCTTTTGTTTCATAGATCTGCATTAACACTTTGTGGTGTTACCTTTTGTCATCTATTTGTGTATCACTCAGGCTAACAGAGCCTGTGAGTGGGACTTCTGTGTGCTACAGTAACATAATTTATGTTCATTGTCTATCATAAGGGATGATAATAATAGGGACATCAAAACTAAATTATAAAATTAAAATGCATATGCACAGTATCATGACTTTGCTATGTCTCATAATTATTAATGCATGATGTTCACGCTTGTGAGTTGCAATGGTATTTGTTATGTGCTGCCAAGTAGTAATGATGGGTTTTTTTCAATCTATCTGTAAGTATTAATCATTGTGAGTTGTTAAATTTGTGCATAAAGTCAGCTTACAGTTATCTGAAGGCAGATTGTTCGTGTCACAGATTAATTGCACCACAGATGCAGGCACAGCTTGGGTTCACCAGGTTTTATTAGCTCCATCTCATTCTGTCAGACCTGTGGTGGCTGCATGAGTATTGCTTGGATGTCTTTGCAATGTGCTTGCCAAAGCTTCTCCCTGTTACTTTATTTATTTGCTTGTGTGCTAAGCTAATTTACGGATTTGCTGCCCACTGTGCCCCGGAACTCAGCAGCCCACAACACAGGTAGTTGTGCAGCTACAGTACAGCCCATGATTTCACAAAATAGGAGGTTTGATCACACTTTGCTGGAATTAATCCTGGGCTTAAAAACCCTTCAAAACCAGATTGATGTTTTAATGTGTTGTCAAATGACAGCCTGTGTGTTCAAGAGGGATCAGGCTAGCTGGTGTTAGGAAACTGGTGAACTTCCCCAAGAACAGCATGAGTGGCTGCTTAGTTTAAGAATAGCATGACAAACCAGCCTAGCACTATGGCACAAAGCTGTTCTTGTGTCTCTGCTCTGTGTCCTGAGAGGAGGATGTTCCTCAAGAGGCTGTAGAGCCAACTCATGTGGTTCATGTAGTGCAGCCGTCTGCTGAACACCACTGCTCTGTGTCCTGAGAGGAGGATGTTCCTCAAGATGCTGTAGAGCCAACTCATGTAGTGCAGCCGTCTGCTGAACACCCTTTCAGCCTGGGCTCAGTTGCTTTTTCCCTCATTTGCTACAGAAAGCAAAGGTTCTGCACTTGGGTCACCACACTCCCATGCAGCTCTAGAGGTTGGGGCTGGAAAGCTGCCTAGTGGAAAAGGTGCTGGAGGTGCTGGTTGACAGCAGCTAACATGAGCCAGCAGTGTGCCCAGGTGGCCAGAAAGGCCGATGGCATCCTGGTATCAGCAATAGTGTGGCAGTGATCACTGCCTGCCTCGTGCTTGGCACTGGTGCGGCCACACCTCAAGCTGGGATGGCTCCAGAGAAGGGCAGCGGAGCTGGGGAAGGGTCTGGAGCACGTCCTGTGAGGAGCAGCTGAGGGAGATGTGTTTGGTCAGTCTGGAGAAAAGGCGGCTCCGGGAGACCTCATCACTCCCTACAACAGCCTCAAAGGAGCGGCAGTGAGGTGAAGATTGCTCTCTTCTCCCGGGTGACAAGATGAAACAGCCTCAAGCTGCACCCGAGAACGTTTACATTGGGTATTAGGTAAATTTCTTCACCAAGAGGGTGGCTAGGCATTGGAACAGCTGCCCAGGGAAACAACAGAATCACCTTCCCTGGTATTTAAAAGATGTGCAAATGTGGGGCTTATGAACATCCTCTGGTGATGGAAGTGGCAATGCAGGGTTAACA